TACTGCACATGGCTAATAAAATGAATCTGAATCTGAATGTACTCATATTAAGATTTTAAAAAACTGCTCGATTCAAGCAATTATCAAACGATGAAATATGAGGTAAGGAGCGGATGACCAATGTCCATAAAAGTCAATTAACGTGGATCATCACTGTTCTCAGACCCTCCAACACAATAAGGAACCATTTGTGGAAGATTGTCCTGAATCCCTCTCAATATGGGCCGCCCTTAGGTTTTCCATAAAAATACATTCTTTGCAAATGCAGGACAGTGATGAGACATTTAGAAGTACCAGAAATCACATTTAGAAACACCATTTTGAGTATTTGATCTGCTTTGTTTTGGACATGTACGCAGATTGGCTTTAGTACACGTCTGCAGGGTGGACACTAAAAAAGAAGGAAGTAAGTATCAGACGCAGTGGAGAAAGATATTCAGAAACAGGAAGTGGCACCAGTAGTAGTAGATGCGTGATAACCCACGAATATCCAGTGTGTTAAAAGCATGCAGCAAAACTGAACATTAATGAGTCTGATGTAAAACATAGACTTTATTTAGACTTTTCCCTGTACACATTTGTCCCCAGATTTTACACTGGTTTCTACAATTCTGCAACTGTTGTGATTTAGGGCTATACAATATTAAATTTAATTGAATCGAATTGACACAAAAAAAAACAAAAAAAGCGTACTTTTTGCTCATCTGGGGGAATTAGCCAAACGCCTAGAGCTGTTACTATTGAACTGTGTCTTGTAACACTGAACTGTGGTGCTAATAAAGTTTCTCTCATGTCATACACAACATTGTTTTAATGTGTTGCATTTTTATGTGCGCCTTTGCTGCTCAGGGTTGTGTCTCAGTCCCGGATCTACAGCCTCGGTCCAGGATCTACAGCCTCGGTCCTGGATCTACAGCCTCGGTCCTGGATCTACAGCCTGTCTGTCTTTGGCTGTTCAGGAGGGTCTTATTATCAACACTCACAATGGACCACTTGGCTTGATTTAGGGCAATATCTCAAAGTTCTTAATATAGGATCTTAATCTCTAAATCTTCAATGTATTGAATTTAAAAAGAATTGAATTGACTTGTCCTTCATTGGAATTCCTATGGTCGACTTACAGTTAGGGCTGGGAGGCTTGTGTAGTGGGGCTTCGTCACAGACAAAGTTGTGAGAGTAATCTGAGACCGCGGCGGGAAATGAGCAGAAATACAAGGATGTAGTGAGGGAGGGTAAATAGGGGATGGTATCTGAGAGTTTTGGTACATATTCTTCAACCCAAGGTGTAAAAATGGAATTGACATTTAATGGTCACATTAGGATTTACCAAAAACAGAAATTTGTTTAAATCTTTAGCAAACAACATTCTACTGTTAAAGAGACATATTGTGCTTCTGTCATTACTATAATAATAAATATTATATTATTGTCTACTGTGGAACAAATCAAAGATTTATTATAAATGATTAAGTTTGTGAATGAAAAAAACGATTTATGTCATAGACTGTAAATAGATCTTCTGAATATATATATTTTGAATGCGCTAAAAACGGCAGCAAGTCCTGACTAGCTTTGAAACTGTTTCATGCTCTTTTTCTACCCGAGACGTTACTGCAGTACAGTATTCATAGTTTAACACTGATCCAGAGCAGAGAGGATTCTTGTACCAAACCAAGCAGATCAAGCAGAAATCCGCTGGAGGAATGCAAATGTATTGAAAAATGCTAACAAAGCTTTCAGCATTTACTCTGGACAGAGCAGAGAAAATGGTCCGAACCAATCGGCTGATCCACCTGCTGCTGTGACCTAATGTGCTGATGCATATTATTACTACTGTTGTCTACTTTTTGAAATATCTATTTATTTGTTTTGTTTTTATAGATGCATGTGTTTCTGCTGCTACTACACACCTGAATTTCTACTAAGGGGGATCAATAGTATCCATCTAGATGGACAATACTAATCTGACCATTTCGGGCTTAAATCGCGGGGGAACTCCAGCTCACTCACGGGGCGTTCAGACCGGTTCATGCATTGCGTCCGGTTTCAATGCAAAGTCCATAGTGTCGTCCTTCTATGCGTGGAACTGCATGTGCATCGTGGCACGTGCGGCAACCAATCAGGGAGCCGCGAAGTGGTCACGGGGACACTAGCGGTCAGAGAGAGAAGCCTGAAGATACTCGTAAACAGCCAAAACAAGAGCTAAACCAGGACAAAACCAGGAAGGACTAAACCAGGACTGACAATGGGGGACACAGTGCTTGTGAACATATGCTTCCAGCCTGAGTTCTCATTCTCCCATGACTGTAAACAAGTGCTGCTAACTTGTTCGCAGATGCGGAAGTACTGTTTAATAATAAAATAAACTTATGGTGCAGCTCCGGGAACACGTACTGCTGTGAAGTCTCTGGATTCTTGTATTAGAACTTTACACGAAAATCCGCTAGCTTAACCCTGTTAGCATCAAAGGCGGCCGCAGGGCGGTACTTTATTCAAGAGGCTCAGTGCTTTAAGTGTCCCAAAAGAGGTGCCGGTACTCGCATGTTTTTAGTGCAAGGGAATGCACTTCTCTTTCCCTGAAGGAGTTTTATTTGTTTTTATTTTTATTATTGTTAATAAGGAATTATATCAAGTGAAAAAAAGGTAGAACATAGACATGAGTCTAGAAGATGTTAATTTGTTTATCCCTAAAAAATATAAAAAAACAGATTACGCAAAATATAATCAAAGTACACCAAATGAAAATTGAGAAATACTGTGCAGATTATTTTACGTAGAAAAGGCTGCAGCATGTTTCGGGCTCCACTTCCCTTGCATTTGGGGCTTCACAGGTTGTGGATGCTGCACTTTTCCCAGTGCTAGCCGTGTCTGCACATCTGTGCATTAAAGTGATCCAAGGGTGGTCCTTGTATAAAAGGAAGATCTGATTTGAAAGACTTGTTTTTGTCGAGAGAGTTTGATCACGGCACAAGTCTGACCTGCAGCGATCTCATTCTGGCTTATGGGTCGTCAGCGAGTCCTCTGTAACGGCCCGTACACACAGCACGGGTCATGTGAAGCAGAGAGACTCACGCAGCCTGGGGGGCTGCGGGATTTGACAGTGATTCTGGACATTGTTTTTTTCTTCACCACATTGAGTTGTTTACAGTGACAAACATGACACAAGCGCCTTGCCCTCGTAAAACTTATGGGTCTCTGTTCTTGGTGAGACGATGTAGCAAGCGCGCATTGTGACGGGCGCTCTGAAAAGCAGCGGAGCAGCTAAGGAATTAAAACAGATGTGCAAATGAGCGTACCGGTCATAGACTAAGTACCGGTATGCCAAAAGCGTGTTCTCAAGAGCTGTTTTTGGAAGTACGGCATACCAGCCCACTTAAAGCACTGAAGAGGCTGAAATTTGGTGAATGTGCTCCCAGTGTGCGTGGAAGCTGCGTTCAAGCATCGGCGGTCTGACGCCCCATTAACAACCATCCTAGTACTTCATCAAGCTGTAAAGACAGGACCAAGACTTTTGACGTTAGATCGGTTTAAAGAAGCTCAGATCATGCATTATTTTTGGACATTAAATATAAGACTAGACTAGGAGCCTGCCCTACCCTGACGCTACCAACAGAGGGAAGAGTAGAATTTGTTACAGTGTTTCACATTTTGAAAATTACCAGCTGCAAGCATAGATTATTGTAAAGATGAGATATACTTTATTGATCTCACAATGGAGAAATTCAGGTTCGATGAATCAACATCTGTTGAAAAATAATGTAATTTTCACAAGATAAATTACCAAAACTAATTGATGGGCAATACTTGTTTTATCTTTAGCCCCATTTCTGCTCTACTCTAGTCTAGTCTACAAAACAGAAAATAATAATCATCAAAAAGAAAGCAACCAAGGTACTTCCAGCAGCCAATCTCTGTGAGTTAGAACACTTTAGTACCAGCTTGGCCTGGATAGAAATGGGCCAAGCCGGTACTGCAAAAGTACCTGGTATCGGTTTACCAGGGTTAGTTTAAATCGGGGTAGGGCAGAGCCAAGTAGGGCTGATGGAAACGGGGCTATAGTGGTACAATGACATCATGCTATTACAGGACTGATAGAAGAGCTTTTAGACAGAAGGGGTGGAGTTTTACATTAGTGTGGATGGATCTAAACCAGACCTGGATCTACAACCCCTGGTCTGTTTTCGACAAGAAACAACATCTCAAAAAAGTGAATTTAGCATGTATTTATTTAGCATAATAGCTCTCCTTTAAATCATCAAAAACTTAGCCCTCTCAGTCTCACGGTGTGTAGGGCCTGATTTTGCTCCCGGGCCACGAGTTGAACTTCTTTGAGAGATCAATAGTGATTCAAATAGTAACACATTCCTAACACAAATTCGACATGGGGAGGCAGCAGTCTTTCTGAAAATGAGAGAGGTTTCTTCTCTAACAATGTTCTAATCCAGGTTAAAAACAATTCTATTTGGCAAAGTATACTACTGAAGGATTGTATCTTCACTGACCTGTTTGATGATGTACTGTTATTATTTATGATTGTAATGCCTTTGTATTGTCATGTTAAGCACTTGGCTTGTGTGTGAACTGTGCTACACAAATAAGCGTGCCTTACCTTGCCTTAACATAGTGACATAGTATGTCACCTTTAATTAAGACTGTGGCAAACAAAACAAGAAATGTCATAGGCACTGGTAATTCACCTCAAAACCTAAGCTAAAAGTGAACTAGTTGCAAACCAGAACAAACAAAACTGAATTAAACCACAGGAATAAAAAATAAATAAAAAATCCAGGAAAGGAAAGGAGGAACCATATGAGATAGGAGATAGGAGGTAGGAGGGGGCATCGCGGAGAGAAATCGACCTTTCCCTCAACGCCGGAGCGAACCGGGAAAGACCCAAATAAAAGCACCCGTATAGAACCAGAACACACCGACACCCGCTCCAGATGTTAGCCAGTTCCCCCGACCCTCCCCCCGCTTGGCCACCCGGAAAACACACTCACAATGTCGGCATGGAAGAGGTCCGGGGGTCGGTATCCTTTCCGTTTTCGAAGGCACATCCGTATCGCTGTGTCGCTTCGCTTCTTCTCGCTTTCACGGAGGTAGTTTTTGAGTTGTATTTCTATTCAGGTCTCTCACTCGGAGCCGTGGGAGAGGGTAGGGCGAGGCGGGGGTCCTCCAGCGGGGTCCGTGTTGAGGTCTCTCGGGGGGTTGTGGCTCAGATCGCCCGGGAGAGAGGCACAGAGGCACGGTCTCAGCTCGCACCGTGACTGCTGCCGCTCCCGAGCCCGGACCCGGCGGCTCTGCGCATGCGTTACACCTTCATTCACAGCGAAAAGAGAGATTTCGCAATGGAAGCTCTACGGACGTCTTTCATTGGATAGTTTCATCAAAATGTCCATTATAATGCTGCTATTATTGCAATCCACTTTGTATGCAACCCATATGTTGTGTAATCAAGTTAAATTAACTTAAGCATTCTTTTTGACGGCTCTCATTCAAATGAATGAAAAGTAGCAAAAATACCCAAATACAGCTTTAATGTTAACAACTTGTATTAAAATAAAGTCAATTCATACGTTTTTTTATCTTTAATACTTGCTAAAACTGGTAAATGGAAATACAGCAAAACATACGCTGTAGGTAAACAGTGTGTTGCCATGGTAACCAGCACTCGCTCTGAGCTGAGATCGCTCTGAACCAGTCTAGGATCGACATAGTTTCATAAACATTATTACATAAATGTAAACTACATATATTATAATTCCGGTGTCTGCTGGACACCTGAATTTCTCCTATAGGGGGTCAATAAATTATCTATCTATAGAAACAAGTGACACAAGTTATGAAGACCAACAATGCATATAGACGTACACTTCCGTCTACAACCCGTCACTCCTGACTGCACTGGGACTTCTAGTGTTAAAGCTGGGGTACCTAATTTTCTAATTCATAGATATTAGATGGATGTCCAGCAGCAGAAACACATGAACAAATACATACATTACATTATAACATTCTTCACAACAGACTATATGTTGTTGTAATGATGACAGTGGAAAGTGTCAGTTAGTATTTTGATGTTGAATAAGGCAATGTGGAATAAGGACTGATAATTGAGAACTAATTAACCATAGATTATTCACAAATGACAACTTAATTAGCTGTTAATTACATTGTTATGTTGTTGTGGTTTGAATCTACAGTCTCAGTCCTGGATCTACAGCCTCAGTCCTGGATCTTCAGCCCCAGTTCCATGATCTACACCCTTAGTCCTGGGTTCCTTGTTGATGCAGGAGAGGCTAAGGACATGATCCAGGACATGTATTACCATTTCTGTACGGTGGTCATCGAGCTCCCTATGGACCAATGGCTCCTCTGTGTTTGTTGTCAATGTATTTCCTGTGCTGTGTTGATAAATTGGTCATTTTGTTGTCCTCTCAGCAGATGACATGACTGCTGTAGTGATTTAGAACTACACAAATAAAAATGCAATCACCCTTTTCCTCTCCAAAGGATTTAGAAATTACTTTATATTGTTGATAATGTGTGATTCAAAAACCCACAACTAAATCCATCGTAACTGTATATGTTTTACTAGTTCTCACTATTAAATTGACTCAAGGGGGTCGGGGGCCAAGTTTAAAAAATATGGTTGGGGCCAAAAGTATAAAAGTGTTTTACTTTTATTGTCATAATTTACTTTTTACATATTTTTGTTTATTAACAAACTGATGTAGTTTGACATGAGTTTGGAGCTTTTTTTTTCTAGTATGTTTGAATTTAATCACATTTAGGCCATAAATCACGATTGTCCTCCTGTGGACTCACCACCTGCAGAGGGTCAGTGAGGGGCTGGTGCTATGAGACTTGGGTGGCATCTCTGACTGCCACCCCCCTGACCCAGAAATGGATTAAAGGGTAGAAAATGGATGGATGGATCACGATATGATATAATTGAGGATTCATAGTTAAATTTGAAAAATTGTTGGCCTTCTAATTAGATTTTAACACAATTACATGTTAGAACACATTCCATTCTGCAGTACGTGTCCCATCGCCATCAATGCTGCAAGTTACTGTAATAATGATAATTGAAAATCATTTCAGGGGCCACTAAAATGGTCTTCGGCTCGTGGGCTAAACTTAGACCATGAGCCAAAGTTTAAGATGTGTGCTTTAGAGAGTAGCCATTTTTAAACAAAGCCAATAGCTCTCTCTCTCTTCAAAATAATACAAATAATACATTCACAATATAATCCTAAATAAATGCATCAATTTACAAATCAAACCACTTGAAAAAGCAGACTGAAGTCCCTGTAAAACCATCACCGTTTTAACAATATAATTTGATTAATTAGACAAAGGAAATATTGCATTAAATGAAATAAAACAATTAAGTAAATGTCAAACATTTGTCATGTCATCGGTAGGGGGCGCCATTTACTAGGATTATAAGGGAAAATCAGGGAGGACTAGAGATTTGTATTTTGAGATAAGATAAAAGAACCTTTATTAGTCCCGCAAAGAGGAAATGTCATTGTTGCAGCGCACATACTGTACAGGACAGTAGTAAGAACACACAGAATATACAGTGATAAGAAGATGTGAATGCTGCATAAGGACGAACAAATATATGTATCTTGTATATGCTCTTGTTGCAAGGCAAGTTTATTTGTATAATACAGTTCATACACGAGGAAACAAGTGCTTAACAAAACAAGATAAAAAACAATCACTCAATGCATTCACATCAACATTTCTCTCAGATTTTCAGGAAGACTGTTCCAGATTTTTGCTGGATTAATCTGAAATGCTGCCTCCCCATGTTGAGACTAGTCCCTGTGCTTTTCAGAGTCCCAGCAGGAGGCCAGTCCCTGTGCTCCACAGAGTCCCAGCAGGAGGCCAGTCCCTGTGCTCCTCAGAGTCCCAGCAGGAGGCCAGTCCCTGTGCTCCGCAGAGTCCCAGCAGGAGGCCAGTCCCTGTGCTCCACAGAGTCCCAGCAGGAGGCCAGTCCCTGTGCTCCAGAGTCCTAGCAGGGTTAGGGTCTCTTTCACAGAGATGATGGGTCCTCTCTGTCTTATGTTCACATTAAGATGCTCTGTTACTTTTTGCACATTTGCAATTTCATTTTTGTTCCAGAACTATATAAAAAAGAAGATATTAAGACAATAGCATTTTTTACAATGTTTTTACTTTTGTATAAACAGTTCAAATATATATACTTTATTGATCCCCAAAAGAGAAATTCAGGTGTCCAGAAACAACAGACACACATCCATCCAAACAAAGAAAATGTTTGTGATTCTTTTCCACCCGGAAATATGTTGCAGTTTATCACTGTATTATGGTGCTAAGGACAATAGGCAAGGCAAGTTTATTTGTATAGCACCGTTCATACACAAGGCAACTCAAAGTACTTAACTAAACAAGAACCAATCAAAGAAAGAAGATAACCAAAGTGCATTAATAAGATTAAAGATGCAATCCTTTAGTTGTTTTATACTGTAGCATACACAATAACAAATTCTGGTCTATGTTCAAAAGCACACAAACAATTTCTCTTATAACATTTGTCTTTTCTCTTGTAGTTTGCAGCTTGTTGAACGTGGACATCTGTTGAATGATGCATTTCTCGCTGCAGCCACTAGGAGTCACTAAAGCTGCACAACAGGCCAACCCCTCAGACCTCTGTCCAAACACCGCTGCTGCGTGAGCTCGGTCTGATGCTGCGGTGACAGTCCTTCAAAACCTGTCTCAGCTCCGGTGTTTTTCAAGGCTCGAGTATATGAGGATGTGAGGAAGACAAGAGCACAGTGCAATAATAGAAAGGAAAATTGCGCAATTACTGAGAACAATGTCCACGTCCATAATGAGGGCAGCGTGAAGACGCAATTAGTTTAAAGGAGATGGAATGGGCTCTGTTTTCTATACTGTGTTGTTATCCATCTGCTTTATTCGGCTTTAGTCTCTTCAGTCCTGGATTTACAGCCTCAGTCCTGGATCTACAGCCTCAGTCCTGGATCTGCAGCCTCATTCCTCGATCTTCAGTCTCAGTCCTGGATCTACAGCCTGAGTTTTTCTCTTTTTCTCTGTGGAAGACTTCTGTACACACACATGTATTCATTGGCTACTGTGTGTGCATTTTTGCACATTGTATTCGGTATTGTGTTATACTGTGTTATTATTGGAAATTAGATCCTCACCACCATTATTATTTGAAATTCATTTTAAAAATTAAGATCAAAAGAGACAAATTGTTGACAAAAAGTAGATTTTTACATTCTGTGTCCCCTGGAAATGTATACCTTTTGGTTCAATCAAAAGCCTCTTTCCCACCATACTCTTCTCTTCCTAGCCATATTCTACCTGTTTGCATTTCCGTTACACTTTAGTATCTGGTACTGTATCCTAGCGACCTTTCCACAACAAACCAGTATCCAGGAAATTCCTTCGAGTCGGGTCGGGTAGGGTAGAGTAGAGTAGGGTAAAGTATATGTTAAGTAGGGTAGGGTAGAGTAGTGTTAAGTAGGGTAGAGTAGAGTAGAGTAGAGTAGGGCTGGTGGAAAGGGGCTAAAGTTCCAATTTCTGTGCTGCAAATCTCACATTTTGTGAGAATCTCCCAAAAGCAGCTGTTCGGAAGAGATTTAATGAAGTGAAATAAAACCTCACAGGAGTCACTTTTATTGCCTCAGTTTCACAGAGTCATGAAAATGTATAACAATTCTCCTCTCATATTGAAACTTATCACAGATATGTGCGGGAAAGATTCATTCACAGTCATTTTGATGCAAGACAAGGCAAATTTTCTTGTATAGCACGATTCATACAGAAGGGAACTCAAAGGCCAGAACAAAACAAGATAGAAACAACACAAAGCATCAAAACCATAAATAATCACAGTGCATTAAAAAGAGTAAAGGTACAGTCCTTCAGTTGTATGAAGATAAACAGAACTGTTTTAACTTTGAACATTGTCAGAGAAGAAGCCTGTCTCACGTTTTCAGAAATACTTTTTTAAAGGACCACTAAACACCAAATATTTCATGGCATATTTATTTCCCACCGGCTTGCTTAAGCTGCTACCTGGTACTTTTTATGGCTTGGCCCTGGTTCTAGCTGCGTTGAGTAGATACCAAAACAATCTGATGTCACAGAACGTCAATTGTGATTGGTCAGAGGCGCTGTCAATCACCCGTCAGCTGGTGCGTCAGCTGTTGCGGAAAAACCAAACCACAAGTTGCCACAAGTTTCCTGCTGAAAACTTCTGTCGCTGGATGAGGTCAACACTCTCCTATAGAGGAGAGGACAAAAGCCAGCGTGAGCTCGATAGTGCCTGAAACATACCTGAAACGAGTGCTTTAAAGCTCTAACCAAGAAGAGTTTTATGAGTTTCAACCATCATTCAGTATCAATACAAGGTCCTCCGCCTCACCTACAAGTCTCCCATAGCCTGGCCCCTTCTTACCTTACTGACCTCCACCTCACTGTCCCACTCGCCGCTTCAGATCCACAGACTCCAGCCTCTTCATTCTCTGGAACTCACTCCGTGGGACTGCCCATCAGGAACTCTATAAAAATAAGTAAATAAGTCATCTTTATTTACAGTGCCTTGCAAAAGTATTCAACATTTCGACACATTTCAGGCTTCAAACATAAAGATATAAAAATTAAATGTTTTGTCAAGAATCAACATCAAGTGGGACACAATCGTGAAGTGGAACAACATTTATTGGATAATTTAAACTTTTTTAACAAATAAAAAACTGAAAAGTGGGGCGTGCAATATTATTCGGCCCCCTTGCGCTAATACTTTGTAGCGCCACCTTTTGCTGCAATTACAGCTGGAAGTCGCTTGGGGTATGTCTCTATCAGTTTTGCACATCGAGAGACTGGAATTCTTGCCCATTCTTCCTTGCAAAACAGCTCGAGCTCAGTGAGGTTGGATGGAGAGCGTTTGTGAACAGCAGTCTTCAGCTCTTTCCACAGATTCTCGATTGGATTCAGGTCTGGACTTTGACTTGGCCATTCTAACACCTGGATACGTCTATTTGTGAACCATTCCATTGTAGATTTGGCTTTATGTTTTGGATCATTGTCCTGTTGGAAGATAAATCTCCGTCCCAGTCTCAGGTCTTTTGCAGACTCCAACAGGTTTTCTTCCAGAATGGTCCTGTATTTGGCTCCATCCATCTTCCCATCAATTTTAGCCATCTTCCCTGTCCCTGCTGAAGAAAAGCAGGCCCAAACCATGATGCTGCCACCACCATGTTTGACAGTGGGGATGGTGTGTTCAGGGTGATGAGCTGTGTTGCTTTTACGCCAAACGTATCGTTTTGCATTGTGGCCAAAAAGTTCGATTTTGGTTTCATCTGACCAGAGCACCTTCTTCCACATGTTTGGTGTGTCTCCCAGGTGGCTTGTGGCAAACTTTAAACGAGACTTTTTATGGATATCTTTGAGAAATGGCTTTCTTCTTGCCACTCTTCCATAAAGGCCAGATTTGTGCAGTGCACGACTGATTGTTGTCCTATGGACAGACTCTCCCACCTCAGCTGTAGTTATCTGCAGTTCATCCAGAGTGATCATGGGCCTCTTGGCTGCATCTCTGATCAGTCTTCTCCTTGTTTGAGATGAAAGTTTGGAGGGACGGCCGGGTCTTGGTAGATTTGCAGTGGTCTGATACTCCTTCCATTTCAATATAATTGCTTGCACAGTGCTCCTTGAGATGTTTAAAGCTTGGGAAATCTTTTTGTATCCAAAGCCGGCTTTAAACTTCTCCACAACAGTATCTCGGACCTGCCTGGTGTGTTCCTTTGTCTTCATGGTTCTCTCTGCGCTTTAAACAGAACCCTGAGACTATCAAAGAGCAGGTGCATTTATACGGAGACTTGATTACACACAGGTGCATTCTATTTATCATCATCAGTCATTTAGGACAACATTGGATCATTCAAAGATCCTCACTGAACTTCTGGAGTGAGTTTGCTGCACTGAAAGTAAAGGGGCCGAATAATATTGCACGCCCCACTTTTCAGTTTTTTATTTGTTAAAAAAGTTAAAATTATCCAATAAATTTCGTTCCACTTCACGATTGTGTCCCACTTGTTGTTGATTCATGACAAAAAATTAAAATTGTATATCTTTATGTTTGAAGCCTGAAATGTGGCAAAATGTTGAAAGGTTCAACTTTCGCAAGTACTTTCGCAAGGCACTGTATATATGGTTTACAATTGTGGGCACTTGTCTCTCACTCCACACAGAGATGGGAGCGGGATATTTTATATCAGTATAATTGATTAATTATTATTTCTCAAAACCCACCTGTTCAAAACTGCCTACATTTGATTGTTTACTTTTAGCTTTCCATTTTGTTTCTTGTTTTGTATTTGTTTTCTGTAAAGCGTCTTGGAGTGTTCAAAAAAAGCGCTATGTAAGTATGATAAGTGTTTTGCCCAAGGACACAACAAGGAATTGTCGGGGGAGTGAACCCACGGCTAATGGGTTCAAACCCCAATGCTCTACCAACTGAGCCACTGTCGCCCATGTTAAAAAAAATATAACGATTATAGATACAGTCACTTCCTAATCTGAAACCCAGAAAATTGACTGTTCTTGGGTTAAAACACAATTTATAACCCCCATGTCGCACAAAGAGAGACCTGCCAAAACCTTAATCCTTCCCGTGTGTGACTGAGGTGTGTGACTGAGGTGTGGAGACAGGGCCTGAGGGGAATGCTAACCAGCAGAGGATCCAGACACAGGTGACAGATGGGTGAGGAGAGGGACCATCATGGGGGAGGAGAGGGAGCAGAGAAGTCTCGGCCCAGTCCAATCTAAAAGTCAATTTACGCATGTTACCGTGTTGATGGAATAAGTTGGTGTATATGTCAAGCTAGCAGAAGTCATGTGACCAATGCATCAAGTCCAAACAGTTCTCATACTGTATGTCTGTGGTTACTGATAATTCCCATGTGCAGAGAGGAGTTCAAGGTTCTGGGTTTAGCTCGGTGTGAGGACCTGAAATGGGTCATAATTGTTGGTTCTGTCACTGTGTGGTTTGGTGACATCACAGTCAAAGAAAGGAGGACAGAGAGAGAGGCCAGAGAAAAAGACCAGAGAGAGAGATCAGTGAGAGGGACCAGAGAGACCCAGAGAGAAACCAGATAGAGCGACCAGAGAGAGTGACCAGTGAAAGTGACCAGTGAGAGAGACCAGAGGAAAAGACCAGTGAGAAAGACCAGAGAGACCAGGTTAATTTGTATAGACTCCAAGTGCTGAAGAAAACAAGATAAAAACAATCACACACTGCATTTCAATCCTAAATATTCACAGCTTTTTATGATTGTCAGAGGGTTTTTAGCGTATGTTTTAGCTTTTTAGTCTGTGTTTTTATAGCCTAGGTTTTTATTGTTTTTATTGCTTCTAATGTATTTTATAATACATCGTTTTTAATTTGGTTTTAATGCAGTGGTCTCCTTTTCAAACCCGGGTCCGAAGAGCCTGCTCTTTCACCTGTGACATGATCAATTTATTTGTTTTGTTTTGTTTGTGTGGATAGATGTGCTTTTGCTGCTACTGGGCACCTGAATGTAACCTGGGGGAGATCAATAAAGTATCTATCTATCTATCTATCCCAAACATTAAAAAGAGCAAATTTCAGGAATATTTTAGCTGCATAAATCTGAAACGCTGCCTGCATGTTTAGTCCTGACTCTGGGACCAGCAGGAGGCCAGTCCCTGTGCTCCTCAGAGTCACAGCAGGAGACCAGTCCCTGTGCTCCTCAGTGTCCCAGCAGGAGACCAGTCCCTGTGCTCCTCAGAGTCCCAGCAGGTGGCCAGTCCCTGTGCTCCTCAGAGTCCCAGCAGGTGGCCAGTCCCTGTGCTCCTCAGAGTCCCAGCACGTGGCCAGTCTCTATCCTCGTAGACGACTGCTGCTGTTATTTAGACCTGTGCACATATAGATTGAATTCAATTAGATTCAATATTTTGATTCTTCAATTAATATATAACGAACAATGAATGTTAAGAAAGTTAGGGTTAGTGTAGTTGAATTTGTGTGATGTCCACCGATAATGAAAATGAAATGTTGCCATTGCCATAGAAACCAGAGAGAGTCAGTGCGGCTCTGTCAGTCTGAGTCCTGAAGCAGAGAGCCATGTGTGTCATGTGCCGAGTTTGAAGTTTTAAAACTCTGCAGAAAACACTGGAACATAGAGAGAAATATGCGTAGGAGCCGATCACTGCTGGCTGATGACACACAACTGGAAGTCGGTAAGAAAATGTTTTGGTTTGAACATACATGTAGCGCTAAACATGGTTGTGTGCAAACTATGTGTTGATATTTTGTTTCCAACACATTCTCTATGTTTATAACGTTACAAAGCTTTTCATATACTTTGGCATTGATACTTTAAACCAAAACTAAGATGAATATATTTAGTTCTTGCTGGAAAAGGTTTTGCATCTTTTGAATGTTATGGACACAGCAGCGAGTCCTAAGTCCTAAGAAACTACACAATTGTTATTATTCTTGCGTTTTTATACTTGTAAATGTTACTGCAGTACATTATACATGGTTTTACACTGATCCAGACCAGAGCAGAGAGGATGGTCCCAAAAAACAGGTAAACCAGAAATCCTTTGGAGGAATGTAATTTTTTGAAAAAAAATAGATAAATAAAATTGAAAAAATAAAGCGTTCACATCTTAAACGGTCTGAACCAAGTGGCTACACCACCTCTGCTGCTGTGACCTTAAGTGCTGTTGCATTTTATTATCATTGCTCGCTCCTTTTAGAACCATGCATTTATTTGTTTATGGTATCTATCATCATATCTATGTATTTATCTGCATCTCTATACAGCCTTACATACATGTTAACAGAGGTCTGTCGCAGTGAGCAGATGTTGGAGGCAGATCCCAGTATCCAACCCCCCAGCGGTTTAGAGCACAGGAACTGCACCAGGAGGCACAGGAACTGGCCTCCTGGTGCAGTGGTAACAACCTGGAGCTGAACGCCCATAAGACAGTGGAGATGATTGTTGACTTCTGGAAGAGCACAGTCCTCCCTCCCCCACCCTCCCGGATGGACACCTCCCCCATCACCTTCTCCATCACCGTGTGGTTCCCTGCAGCCACAGTCAGAGACAAGCAGAGACTACAGCATTGTGCGCTCTGCAGAGAGGGTGATCGGCCACAACCTCCCATTGCTGCAGGACCTGTACGACACCTGAGCTCAAGGTCGGGCTGGTCTCTCATCTGCACATGGACAAGTCCAACCCCTCCCCTCAAGCAGGAGACTACAGTCCATCAAGACCAGAACCTCCCGCCATAAGAATAGTTTTTTCCCCTCTGCTATTGGACTCTTGAACACTTTATAACCTGTTCCCCCGCCCTTTATAAAGTCACCTTACTGCCCTTTATAAAGTCACTTTACTGCCCTTTATAAAGTCACTTTACTGCCCTTTATAAAGTCACTTTACTGCCCTTTATAAAGTCACTTTACTGCCGTCACCTTACGGCACTGCTTAATGTATACTGTTTGTTGTGTGCACCGAGTGCACAGCTCGTAAATAGAAATAATTTTAATAATTTTACTTTTTAATTGTTTTATACTTTAGAAATGTTTTATTATGCCTTATTTTTTTACACGAGAGCCAAAGTAAGTTTCTAGTCTGTGACTTTCTGTTACCCACATGGAAATTAAAATGATTTTGATTCTGATTCTGCTGGGAGTTATGCAGCTAAAATCTGGAACAGTCTTTCTGAAAGAGGGAGACAGACTTCTTCTCTGACAATGTTCAAGTCCAGGTTAAAAACAGTTCTGTTTAGCTGTGCACACAACTGAAGGATTGTATCTTTATTGTTTTTAATGTCCTGTGATTATGCACATATGATTTTAATGTTTTGTGTTATTGATTCTATCCTGTTTTGTTCAGCGCTTTTAGATGCCTTGTGTATGAACTGTGCTATAAAAATGATCTTGCATTTCCTAGTGGCTACATTACATTACACTTCTCAGCTTCATGTGGCCGGGTACATTTCCAGAGCCGGTTCAGGGCCTCAGATCTGCCCATAGTCTGAAAAAGCAGCACTAATCGCAGTTCTTTATCCATGTATCCAGGAGCAGCAAGTCTTCAAGGCTCAAATCACACAGCTGTCCATGAGCTGAAGGGGTCGCACACTACTCGGACAAGACATACGCAAAAGAGTGATTCTGAACAGGAACAGGAACCTCCCTCTAAACAAACAAAGATGTTACAAAAACACCGTCTGAAAAGGACCAAGACGAGAACCAAGAAACGTCATGCTCCCAGGCCAAAGAGGACAAGTCAGTGCACTCTTACCCCGTAGCACCCTCGGTTACTAACATAAAGTTTGTATGTAATGGTAAAAGCATGCATTCACTAATGTATGAAACCAAGAACCCAAAGAACCAACCAAAGAAAGGAGACCAGAGAGAGACCAGAGAAAGACATGAGAGGGACTAGAGAGAAACCAGAGAGAGGGACCAGAGAGAGATCAGAGAGAAACACCAGAGAGAGCTCAGAGAGCGAGACCAGAGAGATCAGAGAGAGACCAGAGAGAAAGATTAGAGAGAGAGACCAGATAAAGACCAGAGAGAGAGACCAGAGTGAGAGATTAGAGAGAAAGACCAGAGAGAGATCAGAGAGCGAGACCAAAGATCAGAGAGAGACCAGAGAAAGGGACCAGAGAGAGAGACCAGAGAGAGGGACCAGAGGGAGGGACCAGAGAAAGACCAGAGAGAGAGACCAGAGAGAGATCAGAGAGAGAGACCAGAGAGAGATCAGAGAGCGGGACCAGAGAGAGTCCAGAGAGAGACCAGAGAGAAAGACCAGAGAGAGTCCAGAGAGAGACCAGAGAGAAAGACCAGAGAGAGGGACCAGAGGGAGAGACCAGAGAAGGACCAGAGAGAGAGAGAGAAAGACCAGAGAGAGATCAGAGGGCGATACCAGAGAGACCAGAGAACTAGAGATTTTAACCAAATCTCTAACACGACAGCGACTGCCCAGGCGATAAAACACCAATGTCATTTCTTCCTTTCTCTACTTTCTTCAGCAGGAACCGGTTGTCTGAGCGTGTGTCAAAACGCTGTCAACAAATGGATTCCCTGTGTTTCTAAGGCGTTTCGCGACGAGAGGGAGTCTGAAGCGGAACAAGAATCGACCAGTTCAGGTTAATCCCTCCTCAAGAACAATTCAGCGAGAACCAGTGATACAGAACCAGCTGATGGAGAGCGAGGAACCAGTTACGCTGCAAAAAGCAATGAAAAATAAGTAAAAAATTGCTCAAATTTGGCAAACTGTTAATCTGAGCACATTCTGATTACTTTAAATCAAGATTTTCCAATGGAACAAAGCCAAATTATGTTGTTTTAAAAAGATAGACAAAATTTCTCCATTTGAATGATAAAATAAAGCAGCAATTCTTAAAAAACACGACTAAATGACTTTGGCAAATCTACTCAGAGTAAGGTAAAAAACACTCGATTCAAGCAATTATTACTTCATATTGTTGTGTTTGTTTTGCAGAAAGCCAAATTGAAGTGTCCAGAACGCAGACGGAGGACGAGGATTCACCAGATCTGCTTCTTACTGCATCCACTCTCAACATAGGTGCTAGGTTTTTTATGGTTTATTGTTTTTATTTACAAGCATGACGCACGGAGGCTGAGGGGGTCGGTGCACTGCTGCTGACAGGTTGCTCAGGTGCAGAGCTACCCAAACTGGGGTCCCGGGGCACTCAGAGGGCCTTGCAAGGATTTCAAGAGACCTTCACAGATATACTTGAACTCCTCCAATTGTATGAGGATCTCTGCACTTTGAGCGGGCAAATATATGTAGCGTATTGGTCATGAGGCAGATCTAGAGAGTTCATGTCTCTGACCCCAATGCACTCCTCTAATCATGATACAAACGCTTTGACAAAAACAAGGCAAGGCAAGGCAAGTTTATTTATATAGCACAATTCATACACAAGGCAATTCAAAGTGCTGAACAAAATAAGAAAGCATTAAAATCATAAATAATCACAGAACATTAAAAAGAAAGATACAAATATAAAATTCCTCAGTTGTATGCTGTTAAGGAAGTTTCTACCCAATGAAGGAGAAAACTCAAAAGGTCTTTGTCTTATCAAAAGCGTAAGTTTATTATACACACATGCGGAGAGCCAGCATATACACACAAAGGCAGCATGTACCAGCTCTGGGCGCAGAGCTCCGAGTTTCCTGTATACAAGACACACACGAAAGCCAGTCCCGCCCACAACAGATGGGAGGGGGCCACCGGTGAGGAGGCGCATGGGGAGCGTTGGCGCCGTCTGGGATGGAGGTGCGAACAGACAGACAATGGTAGAAATGCAGGTCATACAGATGCAAGACGCGAAAGACACAAGGGTGTGACAGACAGCAGGATGTAGAAAATGCACACATACAGACCGATAGATATGCAAGAGGCGAAAAGGGGGACAGTGATTTGCGCCATTGTCTGTAGGTGTCGGGGGGCCCGGCTCCTTCCTGGAGCAGGGACATATGAATAGAAACAGGCAGGGTTGCTCCTTCCTGGAGCAGGGACATATGAATAGAAACAGGCAGGGTTGCTCCTTCCTGGAGCAGGGACATATGAATAGAAACAGGCAGGGTTGCATGAATACTAGTCGCTTGCCATCACACTCCTTTCCCGTGATAATGTAAAAACCCCAGTTTTACAGAGATCACATTCAGGTGTGTGAGTATTGACCTTGGCCCCTGAGTAAAAGAAGAGTTGTTGATGGGCAGGTTACGCCGCCGTCACCCAAGCCTCTTGTATTACAGGGGTGTGGTCAAAGCTCTTCGCTGTGATACCCTCCCCCTAAATTGTGGGCGGAACAAGTGGAAAAATAAAAACAAAGTAAACAAGAAAGAAAAACGTTAGACAAAGTCGTCGTCCGAATCGCTGATATAATCAGGATCGGAGTTCAGTGGGACCGCGGCCAGGTCCGCCTCAGGGTCTCTGTGTTGAATGGACACAAAGTGAGTGGATATCATTTTACCAACGGCCCGAAACACCATGGGTAATACACATGAAAATAAAATCATAACGGTCAATAGGGCTAAACCAAGATTAATGAGCACACTTCGCCAGGAGGACAGGAGCCAGTCCAGACCGTGAGGAGTGTCCGTGACATTGTCCGCCTGTATGGCGTCCCGGAGTCTAGTCAGATTGGCTATGCCCTGTTGGATAAGACCTCCGTCCTCATCGTTGGCCGGAATATATGTACAGCAGGACGACCCGATGATCGTGCATACGCCTCCCACAGACGCGGTCAGGTGGTCCAGGACCAGCCGGTCCTGAAGAACAACGGCACGTAGGTCGTGAAGTTCAACTCTCTGTGAATGGGTTAGTAGGTGAGAAGGGGCGGTATGGTGGGGGGTGTGGGGGGTGTGGGGGATGTGTGTGTGTGTGTGTGTCTGCCTGTGTGCCTGCCTGTGCGTCCCCCCCTTCCGTGGAAGGTGGAGCAGCTATGGCTTTATTCGTCTTTTTGCGGTCCCGTTCTGTAGCTAAATCCTCCCACATGGCAAGACAGGTCTGGTGTTTCAGTATAGCCCTAACATCTTCTGCTGTAATTTTCTTAAAACCAAGTATTTTTTCCTTTTCTTCTTCTAAATTATCACGCAAAATGCGTAATTGATTTAGAGACATGCTCCCTCCGTCGGGAAAACCAAATGAACTACACCATATAGGCAAGCATTCCATAGCTTTAGCTCCGAATCGTTTTTCCATAGCCATAGTAACGGGGGACGTCAACATTCCCCGCGGCGTGGCATCTCTAGATTGATTTTTCCCCATTTTCACGTATGGAACAATGGACCTAACCCGTGTAGTCTCTTCCCTGCTCTGTACTCGCTTTGGAGCGGTTCGTTCCCCCCCCGCTGGTTCAACCAACAAGCGCGCGTTTTTGAAACGAACCGGGTCTGGCTGAAGACTCTCAGAGAAATTATCAGGGTCGCTTACAGAGCGATTTACTACCACGCAGCCGCTAGTTTCAATCTAGGATACAATACCCCAAAAAATCCCGCACACAGACTATGCTGTGGCAATGAATGAAATACCCCAAAAATACGTAAATAAACAAATCCCCGTGTCGACTTAAGGGCTGCCCTGGGCTCGTTACGCAGATGAAAAGACAAGACTCACCAGATTAGGTTCTTTTATGGTCCTGTAGTCGAATAGTTTTTCCAGCGCGAGGCGAGCCGTGTCCCCCCTGCTTCTCGTCAAACACTAAGTGAGGTAGGAGGCTGGTCCTTTGTCCCAGGTTTGGCCAAAACAGCACGAGTCGTCTCCACGCCGAAAAAAAAATCCAACAAGAACGTGTCAGCAACGCCAAATTGTTAAGGAAGTTTCTACCCAATGAAGGAGAAAACTCAAAAGGTCTTTGTCTTATCAAAAGCGTAAGTTTATTATACACACATGCGGAGAGCCAGCATATACACACAAAGGCAGCATGTACCAGCTCTGGGCGCAGAGCTCCGAGTTTCCTGTATACAAGACACACACGAAAGCCAGTCCCGCCCACAACAGATGGGAGGGGGCCACCGGTGAGGAGGCGCATGGGGAGCGTTGGCGCCGTCTGGGATGGAGGTGCGAACAGACAGACAATGGTAGAAATGCAGGTCATACAGATGCAAGACGCGAAAGACACAAGGGTGTGACAGACAGCAGGATGTAGAAAATGCACACATACAGACCGATAGATATGCAAGAGGCGAAAGGGGGGACAGTGATTTGCGCCATTGTCTGTAGGTGTCGGGGGGCCCGGCTCCTTCCTGGAGCAGGGACATATGAATAGAAACAGGCAGGGTTGCTCCTTCCTGGAGCAGGGACATATGAATAGAAACAGGCAGGGTTGCTCCTTCCTGGAGCAGGGACATATGAATAGAAACAGGCAGGGTTGCATGAATACTAGTCGCTTGCCATCACAATGCACAGCTAAACAGAACTGTCTTTAACCTGGTTTTAAACATTGTCAGAGAGGAGGCCTGTCTCACATCTTCAGGAAGATTGTTCCAGATTTAAGCAGCATGAATCTGAAAAGCAGCCTCCCCATGTTTAGTCCTGACTCTGGGCACTAACAGGAGTCCAGTCCCTGTGCTCCTCAGAGTCCGGGCTGGTTCATATGGGACTAACATGTCACTAATATATTTTGGTGCGTGGCCATGGAGAGACTTGTACACAAGCAAAGCTGTTTTAAAGTCTATTCTCTGAGCCACAGGAAGCCAGTGCAGAGACCTGAGGACCGGACTAATATGGTCGTACTTCCTGGTTCTAGTCAGGACTCGAGCTGCTGCATTTTGAATGTACTGCAGCTGTTTTACAGCCTGTTTGGACAGACCTGTGAGCAGGCCATTGCAGTAGTCTAACCTACTGGAGACAAATGCATGGATAAGAATCTCCAGGTCTGCTTTAGACACTATGTTTTTGATCCTGGCAATGTTTTTTAGATGGTAAAAAGCTGCTGATGTTACTGATTTGATGTGGCTATTAAAATTTAAGTCTGAGTCCAGTATTACCCCTAGATTTCTGACCTTGTTTGAAGGTTTTAGGGACAGAGACTGGAGGTGACAGATGGCGCTCTCTCTTTGTTTCTGGGGACCAAAGACAATCATTTCAGTTTTGTCTGCGTTTAGCTGAAGGAAGTTGTTTTGCATCCACTCACTGATCTGTTGGTGCAAAACATAGTAGCAGTTGTTCCTCTTCTTTTTATAGGATCACAATCCCAGGACTATATCGAGGTTTTGGACAAGGAAAGCCTCGAAGTGAAGCATGAAGTCATAAGGGGTCAGTCTGCAAGAATTACAACAAATTACTTTTTTCATAGTAACAGCTACAGTTTAGAATCGACAAGTTCTGCTTCATTTCAATTGGAGTCTTCTCTTTGTTTACTTATTAGTACATGCAGGTGTTTACCATTTTACATCCTTATCCACTACACATGTTGTACTATATTTTTTCTACCTGCAAGAGTGTAATACAGACACAAATCCTCAATAACAACGTCCTCAAGAGTCCAGAACTGACCAAAGCACCAAAGACTGTGGTATAGACAGTATTCTATGTTTGTTTGCGTTTGCAGAAATTAAACAAAAGTATGGTGTGGTCAAGAATTTGGCCGAAGGAGGCAACGGCATCGTCTTTTCGGCGAACCGCGTTCAAGACAACTTTCCTGTGAGTACTGTGTATTTTGCGTACTTCATTGGACACTTTTCATACTTCCAAAACAGGTTTATCTACTGATTTACCCACAAAGTGACCATTCAATTCAAGTCAATTAATTTTTGTCTTGCCCTAAATCACATTAAACAGTAGTTATCTCAGAGGACTTTACAAAGCTGTCGTTTGTCCGCCAACAAAGATCGGAAAATCTAACCGTTCAAACACAAGAAATGCAATGACAGAAAACACACAGAGCCATTTTTTCATAAGAGGTAGATGACCAATCTCCATAAATGCCATTGAATGTTTAGTTTCCTGGATTTTGTTGCATTGTTCTGAACATTGAAAAGATAATCAATTTGAATCTAATTAAAATCAGAATTCTTGTTTTTACCGTGTGAGCAACAGGACGTCACAAACTAGGAAATAGCCTTAACTCAACGCGCAGTTCAAGGTCAATAAAAAAATCGACATACAATTTCTTTAAAAATGAAGCTAAAGCAGAGGTTTGGACTGGAGGACAGGAAGAACTCTGCTCACCATGTTCCAAGTCCTCCCACTGTTGCTAACGGCAACAGCATCTGTCTATCACACTCAGCTACACTTCCCTATATGTGTATACTGTATATATAGTCGTATGTGCTAATAGATAGTTTGTGCTAATTGATGTACAGTAGTGTCTGATTACTGCCTACTGATAATACCCATGTGTTCTTTGTTCAAGTGCAGTAGGTGGTGAATAAAATATAATTGCAAAATACTAACTTTTAGGATTGAATTCAGGTAATCTGCCTGGTTTATAATCTCATGTTATCTTTGCTTTCTTGCAGGTGATTGTCAAAGTAATCCCCAGAAATATTGTTCCCTTTTTGAGAGTGGTACAACTTTTTGATCTATTTCAGACACATTCTCCTCCGTCCAGTGCTGTTTTTATGTTGTCTTTGTTGTTTTCAGAGGACGAAGAGGAGAGTGGTGAAGATCCCTCGGGAGGTCTACATGCTGGTCCGGGTCGGGGCTGGTCCTGACTCGGCTGGGTCCATAGTCACCCCCAGACTCCTGGACTGGTACGACAGTGGAGAAGCCATCATCCTGGTGATCGAGAGACCAATGCCCTGTGTGGATCTACTCGAGTACGTGAGGTCGGACTCAAGAGACGGTCTGGACTTGGAGGAAAGTTCCAAGGTAAGGATTTTTGTGTAGCTCTAAATCCCAACAGCAGTCGTCTGAGGGGAGTTTATAAACTTGTGGATTTGCCAAACAACACGCACACATACACACACGCACAAACACACACATACGCACGCACACACACTCACGCACACAAACACATATCCACATATCCACACACACACCTACACACACACACACACACACACACACACACACGCACACAAGCACATATCCACACACACACACCTACATACATACACACACGGCCACTGAGCTACAGGAGTCTAGGAGCCAGAGAGAGTATGGACAAAACTTTCTCCATGAGCACTTCCCTATTGATTAGCATAGTCCATTTATATACAGTCTATACCTATAAACATTATCAAACAATCATGGTTTGATGGAGCAGCACGGTGGCTGAGTGGATAGCACTCTCGCCTCTCAGCAAGAAGGTCCTAGGTTTGAATCCCGGTCGGAACAGGGCCTTTCTGAGTGGAGTTTGCATGTTATCCCCGTGTCTGCGTAGGTTTCCTCCGGGTACTCCGGTTTCCCCTACCACTAAAAACCTGTACAATAGTTCTGGCATGTGCCTCCTGCACTGGTGACCCGCTCCCATCTCTGTGTGGAGTGAGAGACTAATGCCCAAAAATAACAATTGTAAACCGCTTTGAGACTCTGATCTGCAGTGAAAAGGCGGTATATAAATAAAGATTATTTACTTACTTACTGAAGCCCCCACTGCCCCCACCTGTGGACTCAACACCTGCAGGAGGATCAGTGAGGGGCTGGTGCCATGTGTATTGGGTGCGACTCTGACAGCCACCCCCCAACCCAGAAATGGATTAAGGGAAAGAAAACGAAACACAAATGAACGTTGCAGTGATTTTTCAAAGACATTTCAAAATACTCATTGTTTCTTCTTGTTTCCAGATCATATTCCGTCAGTTGTTGGACGCGGCGATGGAGATGGAGGCCAGAGGAGTTTTCCACAGGGACATTAAACCCTGTAATGTTCTGATCGAGACTCGAGACGATGAGCTCAGGGCCCGGTTCATAGACTTCGGTCACGCCAAGCTCTCCACACCAAACCGGACGTTTGACATTCCTCAAGGTAAAGAGCCACAGTTTCAAGTATAGTATGTGCTGCATCAGAATCAGAATTATTCTTTTTGCCAGGTAAATAACCGGAAATCACAAACTAAAAAAGAATCAAAAGTAGAAAATATGTGACAGGCGCAATCATCAAGTGTATGAATGAACAAATATGCATGTGCTAAAACACCTGAGAGAATGAATAGTGAGAAAAACATCAGACAATCCATAATCATCTCACGTTTATTCTGCATTTAAAAATTACAGGAAAAACCAGGAGAAATACCAATAATTAATCTTCAATTAATGAATACAAATTAGCACTTAACTAGCTGTAGATTAGTGAGGGATAAGCTATGTGATAATTAAGCACCCATTAGTTTTTATTCTACATGGCCTTGGTCTTGAGTTTGAATCCCGGTGGGAACAGGACCTTTCTGAGTGGAGTATGCATGTTCTCCTCGTCTCTGCGTAGGTTTCCTCCGGGTTTCCCCTATAACGGTCTGGCATGCGCCTTCTGTACTGGCAACCTCGCTCCCATTTCTGTGTGGAGTGAGAGACAAATGTCCAAAAATAACAATTGTAAAGCGCTTTGTGACTCTGGTCTAAGAAAGGCACTATATATAAAAAAAGATTACTTACTTACTAGTTAACATCTAACTAAAATCTAACTGATACTTTTCCATGTGGGTTAAGGTCGGGGTACACTAATTAGCTGTAGTGAGTGCTAATCTAAAGGGTCACCAGAAACTTTATTTAAAAATCTTCAAACCGACTGACACAAATGTAGACATGCCATAAGTATTGAGGTGTTTTATCTTAGGCTGGCATCAAAGACTGGAATTTATGGAACCAAAACGCCAAACACAGACCACTCTTTAATCAAGTCTTAAGTCTTTTACATTTATCTATTTGTATGCGTCATCAATCAATCAATAAAATCTTTTTTTATAGAGCACATTTAAAGCAGCGTAGGCTTACCAAAGTGCTGTACAGACAAAAAACAACAACATAAAAATACATGAAAGTATATAAAGATAAGAATCGACTAATTTTCTTTTTCTACCTGGTCTTACAAGTCAAATAAACAATGTGTGTGTAAAGCAGTTTTAATGTGGCTGTATAATTTTGTCATCGTATGACATACATACACCATTTTTATTATTATTTTATTTTTTAAGAGACCCTATATCTAGACCAGGTAGACTAATACCTGACCAAATCCAGGCCAGGTCCATACCAGATCCAGACCAGGTCTAAACCAATTCTGAACCAGGCGTGAGTTATGGCTGATTTAATGACATAGTTTCCTATTTGCTGTTTTGAAAGTTAGGCATTTAGTTCACTATCATCGTATATGGCTTTTGTCTGTCTCCTCAGGCACCACGGCCTTTTCCAGCCCAGAGTGGTTCCGGCAGGAACCGTACACAGCGAGGCAGGCGACTGTGTGGCAGATGGGCTGCGTGCTCTTCATCCTCCTCTTCAGGAAACAGCCTCTTGTCTCTGAGCACAGCATCAGCTCCTCGAGGGCGGTCCCCATCCCCAACACCGTCTCTCCAGGTGCTAGAGGCTTAGATGAAATTATGTGTTTAGAATGTTGTCCTAACACCTGCAGCAGCTGTGACCAGAAGGAGTTGAGGTCAAGGCCTAACACTGTTGTTGTGTGTGCTCAGAATGCAAGGACTTCCTGAGGTGCTGCCTGAACAAGGATTCTGAACAGAGAATGAGTCTGGAAGATCTGAGGAACCACCCATGGATGCTCTGAACACATGCAGCAGGACACGCACTGTAGAGTTGGTAAGTCAGATGAGGCGAGGAAAGTCCTCCCAATAAAGCTTTGTGAGGTTTACTCAAACCTCTAGCCTGGCCGTACCACACCATAGTACAAATTACATTTCGTACTAAGGTCTGGGGGTGCTCCAATGAGCTCCGTTAACAGGTGGGAGGGGTTAACTCCTTTTGCAGATTGAAATGATTGGATCTGAGTTTACCGTGACGTATGTAATGCACCCGAGTGAGCAAAGATTGCTAAACATTCCTCTTGCTCCGGCTTCAATTCCTTGATAGAACCAGACCGTAATACTTTACTATCGCATTCTTCGACATTGCCAAACTACAACCAGCCCGTTCTACGCAAACTCTTGACCTCACCCACAACTAACTATAACACCCGTCTCCCACGCTCGCTGATTGGTTGTATGGAACTCTACCGATGTAATCGCAAACACAGGAACCAGACCCAGACGTTACATGCAGGGAAATGATAATTGACCGGAGTGTACGGATGGCTTGGGCCAGGCTACTCAAACACCCAGTGTCTCCAAGATGTCTAGAATCAGCATCAGTATCAATTTATTGCCATTTGCAGAATACACTACATTTGAAAACAAACAGGAGACACCGGGAGCATCAACACCACAAACCACAAACATGCACAAACAAAATGAATAAAGCAGCGAGGCAAGAAACGGTGAGGCACGTACTGTATGAAACTCTGTGTAAAACTTAAAAACATGATTAAGAAACTACGACGGAGCTACAAAACAAGCAGATATCTAAGCGCTCTGTTCAGTCTTATACTGTAACCGCCTGAGGGAAGAAGCTATTCGCATGGCGGGTGGTTCTGCACTGCAGGGACCGGAATCTTCTCCTCAAGGGAAGAGGCAGGAACAAGGCCGCTCCAGGATGGCAAGAGGAGTCATTTACATTTACAAGGGCTCGATTTAAGTGTCTGATCTCATAAAGAGCCTCCAGAACAGTTCACAGTCCTCCAAGCAGAACGAACCTTTGATCACCCCCTTCTCTCTCGAATCTGTCTACCCCCGGTCTCTCCAAGATGTCTGCCCCTAGTCTTTTTAAGATACTCAGACTCGCACCATAGACATCCCAAACATTAGTTGGAGTGGCGAATTCTAGGCAGCTCTGGTTCTTGTGGTCTTGTGCAGTGGTTCTACTTCCACAGGGACAAGCTCACATGTTACTCTGGTCCTGTGGACGTAGGATCAGACCGGATCATGCGCTGCGTCGGCTTTCAATGCAAAGTCAATGGTGACGCACGGTACACTCATAAACAGCCAAAACAGGAGCCCCACCAGGACTAAAACCAGGGTTGACAATGGGGGACTTGTGAACATATGTGTTTTTTTGCTCCCGTGACCTTATGCAACTGCTTTGAGCGTGTTCGCCGATGCGGAAGTACCGTTTAGTTATCAAATTCAACTCCGTAAACACATACTACTGTTATATAAAGTCTGTGGAAGGTCTCTGAACACAGACACGCTGCAAAGCTGCATTATTGGAGAAGAACTTTGCACAAGAAGCCGCTAGCTTAACTCTGTTAGTATCAAATCCCACCGGCTACTTCCGCCACTTCTGGCGCGCACCAGGACTTCTGGTCTGAAGACCCTTGAGTCTGAAAACCAGAGAATGTACGTCTGGTGAGCGAGGCTTCAGCGCTCCAGCGTTTTTTGAGCGTATTTCTTGAGCCCATGTTCCCAACAGCTGAGAGACACAGTCCCTCTGCGTCCTGGGTCTTCCCCTGGTGTCCTCCTGGTGGGACATGCCCAGAACAGCTCCCCAAGCAATCTCAACTGGCTCCACTCAATGTGGAGGAGCTTCAGCTCTACTTTGAGCTCCTCCTCTATCTCCATGGGAGTTCCCAGCCACTCTGCAGAGGAAACTTATGTGGGCCGCTCGTATCTAGTAAAAGGAGAGCTTTGACTGCAGACTCTGCTCTCTCTTCACCACAACAGCGTCTGCATGCTGCAGTGATCTGCCTGACAATCTCACACTCCATCATTCCTTCACTCGTGAACCAGATCCTCAGATACTTAACCTCCTCCACTTGAGAAAAGACCTCTCCAGTTCCTTATTTTGTGTGTATTTCTGGTGCATGGTGGAAGAGAATCAAAATCCACCTCATTTTGTTTCATACGTTTCTCAACGGCTGTGCATTGTAAAGGTTAAGCAATCTCACACACACAAAATCTCTCAAGGATTCTACCCTACAAAAGATGAAAACCCATGTTATTTTAAATCCTGAATGTCTTGCAAATGAACTGCTTTGCAAAGATGACCATCTGGGCTGGTAGCATTCTGAAAATCCATTTAAAACTTATATTGGGGTCTGGAGCTGCCCATCAGTGCTAACCATAGTGGTTTAAACACAACTTCTGCAGATAATTAGCTTGGAATTAGTATTCTGAGTACGAAGTGAGCTGAGGGGTTTTTGTGAGAAGCGATGATGTTTTGCAATGTTGTCAGTCAATTTCTCCAATCAATACAGACTATAATTGGCTCATTTATTTTCCAGGGCTGAATGAAAAGAGACATGACAGAATGGAGCAGCAGGAGTAGGCTAAAGAGGCGAAGGTCCGTGTTCAACAACAGTCGAGTCAATAAACTCAATGTTACCAGCATCAAAAACAAATCAAAGGCATTGTTTATTTTTTCTTTAACAAGATGTTGAAATTATCCTATGTCTCTGTCTGCTGGGACTCTGAGGAGCACCCGGACTCGACTCCTGCTGTAACTCTGAGGAGCACAGGGACTGATCACCTGCTGGGACTCTGAGGAGCACAGGGACAAGCCTCCTGCTGGGACTCTGAGGAGCACAGGGACAAGCCTCCTGCTGGTGCCCAGAGTCAGGACTAAACATGGGGAGGCAGCGTTTCAGACGTATGCAGCTAAATCTGAAACAGTCTTCCTGAAAATGTGAGACAAGCTTCTTCTCTGACAATGTTTAAATCCAGGTTAAAACAATTCTGTTTCGCTGTGCAAACAACAGAAGGATTGCATACTGTATCTTCTCTTTTTAATTAACTGCAAGTCCCAACATTATTTTCTCGAACAAAAACTCTTGCACACTGACCGAAGAACCAGCGGAGGAACAAGAGTGAAGCTCTTAATGTCATAGTTTGTCCTTTTGCACCTGCGTTTGTGTCCCAGCCTTTAATAGAACAAACAATGAGAAAGAAATAAAGGCAGGATTTGAGTCCAGTACAGCACCTTGACATATTTCATTTACTCACAGATGGATGGATAGAGAGATTGATAGAGATATATAGAAAGAGAATGAACAAGAGAGAGATAGACAGATAAAGAAAGAGAGAGAGATAAATAGACAGATAAAGGAGAGACAGGTGGAGGTATATAGAGAGATAGAAAGATAGAGATAGACAGATAAAGAAGGAGAGAGATAAATAGAGATAAAGAGAGAAAGAGAGATAGAAAGATAGAGGTAGACAGATGAAGGAGAGAGAGAGATAGATGAATATAGAAATAGAAAGATAGATATAGATATAGACAGGGGCGACAGTAGCTCAGTTGGTAGAGCATTGGCCTTTGGGCCTGAAGGTCGTGGGTTCGAGCCCACCATAAGACCTACTTCACGACTCCCACTGATGACTACTGTCGTTGTGTCCTTGGGCAAGACACTTAACCCCACTTTGCCTGAAGCCCCCACTGAAAGTTCTCAGCTCCTGTGGACTCACCACCTGCAGGAGGATCAGTGAGGGGCTGGTGCTAAGTGTACTGGGTGCAGCTCTGACTGCCACCTCCCCCGACCCAGAAATGGATTAAGGGGAAGAAAATGGATGGATGGATATAGACAGGTAAAGAAGGAGAGAGATACAGATATATAGAGAGAAAGAGAGATAGAAAAATAGAGATAGATAGATAAAGAAGGAGAGAGATAAATAGAGATATAGAGAGAAAGAGATAGAAATCTATAGATAGACAGATGAAGGAGAGAGAGAGAGAGATGGATGTATATAGAAATAGAGAGATAAAGAAAGATAGAGAGACAGGTAAAGAAGGAGAGAGATAGATAGAGATATATAGAAAGAGAAATATAAGATAGAGATAGACAGAGAGAGGGCGATATAGAGATAGATTTATTAAAGCCTTTTGGTTCAGCATACACACACACACACACACGCACACACACACGCACACACACACACACACACACACGCACGCGCACGCGCACGCGCACGCACACGCACACGCACACGCACACGCACACACACACACACACACACACACACAGCACAGTTATCCAGCTGAACTGCCACTGATATTGTTGTCAGTTTTGTGATGTCCTCAGAGACAGATCTTTCACAGGAACAATATTTATGTTTAATGACCTGTGGCCTTTAGCTTATTGCTCTGACATTTCAGCTGATGGCACAGGGACAAAGCTAATGAGCCAGAACCGTGTTCTCCGTGATTATTATGAGGGGGAAAAACAGACACAATGCTCCAATCCAAGTGAGGAGCAGTGGGAAAGGTTGGTGTGTGGTTTGGCCCTGTGTCACAATAAAAGGGTCAGAATAGTCTCCACAAGGGATTGGATCAAGGAGCAGAAGGAGACCAGAGAGAGAGAGACCAGTGAGAGAGACTATGTGAGCGATCAGAGAGAGACCACCTAGATACCTGAGAAAGACCAGAGAGAGAGACCAGAGAGAGACCAGTGAGAGATCAGAGAGAGACCAGAGAGAGACCAGTGTGAGAGACCTGAGAGAGACCAGAGAGAGACCTGAGTGATACCTAAGAGAGACCTGAGAGAGAGACCGGATAGATACCTGAGAAAGACCAGAGAGAGCGAGACCAGTGAGAAAGACCAATGAGAGACCTGAGAGAGATTAGAGAGAGACCAGAGAGAGAGACCAGAAAGAGACAACAAAGAGAGACCTGAGTGAGACCAGAAAGAGACCTGAGAAAGACCAGACAGACCAGAGAGAGAGACCTGAGAGAGACCACAGA